AGCCACTGCACTGGCGGCCGCAAAATTCTTTTAGCGGGGGCCAGTGACGGGCCCCCTGACGGCCGCGGGCAGCGGACGTTTTTAAAGGCAGCAGAGAGGCCTGGGGGGCAATTGCCATCCTGCCCCCCGGCCCAGTCCGCCCCAGCTTCACAGGCAATAAGGAAGTCGGGCGATGAATCATGATCCACTTTCTGATAATCGGGGCACAATGCACCAGTACTCGTTTTCGGCGAGTACCAAACAAAAAATATCAGTACTCAATACCGAACAACCGGTATCGGTGCATCCCTACTATAGAGTAAACAGAGACATTTAAGTAGACTGTGAAAAGGAGAATTAATGATGACTCATCATCATTAGCAGCTAACTCATTCAGTGATTCTCATTGACTTTTGATAATTTTTTAACCCTTTCACTGCCCCTCATCTCTTAAACTACTAATCTGCAACCTGCCACTGTATGTGTTCTGTAAATTTACCTCTTCACCTCCTGATCCCTCTGCGTATGACCTTGTATGCGGTATCTAGTCCACCATTACTACGCACCATTTTTATAAGTACTATTTGTGCCTTTACGTTTAAGCAGTTGTGATTGGATTCTTGACATATATTTAGACCAGTGTTTGTGATCACAGTTTCCACGTACAGAACTGATGATGGCCAACAAGCCTATTTATATGCACGGTGGCCTTTGCTGTCAAAGACTTTGAACTAAGCGTACATGTCTAATCCCACACGACAATGCAGCTCACAAATGTTACACTTCATCCCCGGTAAAATCCATACAATGTTGCATGATGATTCTACTAATTCATTTGACAAGATGAATATGTTCCGTCCCTGTAATTGGTTTTGAAGAAAGTCACTTGTCATAATATGTATCACTGAAATTATTATTTTTTTGGTGAGTTTTTAAAAAAAAATTAATATCACATTTCTTTTTTTTTTTCCTAGGTGGAGGAAGCTCTTGAATATGTGAGATGTGCTACCAACGAACAAGATCTGGCTCACCGCTTCAAAGAGTTTGGCAAGGAAATGGTCAAACTCAACTACGTGGCCGCAAGAAGGCAACAGGTAGACTTCCTAGTATCCGTAATACAGCTAGGTTTAAAGAGAACCAGTCATTGATGGGCTTTTAGATGAATATTTGGTCTTAAATGTATCTGTCAAATCAAGATTTAAAGGTTCAATACACCCAAAAGTGATTTTTTAATTATAGGGTGAGCCTATTGGAGATTGATTTGTCAGCCTCTGGATTTTTAAGTGTCTTGGATACGTCAACAGCACTTCTTTCTGCCATAATTACCAACTCTAACCCTGCTCACTGGGAATTTTTAGTTCCACCGCCCATTTTTGTGTGATCAAGCTCCTCCTATTATAGTCTCCATAAATTATTAAACAATCCAAGTGGTCCGCATACTACATGATGACAATAGCAAGGGGGTAGCTGCATGATCGGCAAAGAGCAATAGAGCCTTACTATTATGGGAGTGCTACCAGAAGGGGATTTTGTTTAGCTAACTCAAGTTCAGCTTTAAGACTGAATATTCAAAAACTTGCATACGCACAGTCACAACGGACTGTTTTTAAATTGTAAGGTCACCTTTGTACCTTTAAAATTAAAAAGAAAACAAAAAATTGCATGATTTAATTGACACATCTTTCTTAAAAGGACATCTGATTCTGTTGCATACTTTGCCCCCCATTGCTTACTTGTTCATATATGCAACCGTGTGCCTGTAAAATACACAAGGATACAAAAAAAATCCTAGTGATATGAATAACTTCTGCCTGCTGCTACAATACTCTTAGGGATCTATTTATGAACAATTTACAGAACCATTTGCCTTGCGAATCTCTCCGCATGTTTGTTCTGTGTGATTGGAGGCAAAAAACAACATTCTTAGTATATTTTCTTTTTTAGTTTGAATGTAACATTTACAAAATACCACTTTATGTCCACTGGATGGAACTGAGAAGCATAAGACATAAGTGTTTTTTTCCAATGCTCCTCAGCTCCATCTAGTGGTCATAAGGCAGTATTTTCCAAATAATTATTGCGACCTAAAAAAGAAAGTTTGCTAAGAACGTTCATTTTTGCCTTTATTCACACAGAACAAATTCACAGTGACATTCACAGTGTAAATGCCTCCAGCCTTAATTGTTTATAAATAGACCCCTAAGTGCTGTCTCAGTGTAACCCCAAGTATTTTCTTCAGATGTTTCCCTGCGGGTAAATGTCCTCTGTGTTCTCCCTCATAGGAGCTGAAAGATCCCCATTGCAGGGATGAGATGGCAGCTGCTCGAGGAGCTCTGAAGAAGAATGCCACAATGCTGTATACAGCCTCGCAAGCTTACCTCCGCCATTCTGACGTGGCAGCCACCAGAGCCAACCGTGACTATGTATTCAAACAAGTGCAGGAGGCTATTGCAGGGATCTCCAACGCTGCCCAGGCCACCTCACCCACTGATGAGAAGCAGGGCCACACAGGCATTGGGGAGCTGGCCGCTGCCCTCAATGAGTTCGATGTAAGTATATCTCAGATGCCATGTTTGTATTTTTACCTCTATTGCTGTACCAGGAGCCATTTTTGTAAGAAGACACTAAGAGCCTCATGAGGAGCTACATTTATCACTGCAGAGGCATGTGTGTAGGCAACATTCTCAGTACTCCAAGGGTCCTCATGACACCTCTTCATTTACACCACTTTATTATTTAGCTGTAGCAGCACTATGATGGATACCCATACTCTCTATAGCAGGGGTAGCCAAACTCCGGCCCTCCAGCTGTGGCGGAACTACAAATCCCATGACCCCTGCTCTATAGCATTCCTGTCTGGCCAGTTCCAGAAGGACAGGGAAAGTTGCACAGTGCATCTTCCAGTTTGAGGGAGTTTAGTGCTGAGTCTTTCCTCCCATATCTACATATTGTTTCACTTATCCACACAAGAATATCCCTCCTTCCTTTACAAATTCTTTGTATCACTGCCCATCAGGAAGGCATTGGGATGAACCTTACAAGATAAGATGAGCATTTTTAAATATATAT